GGTGTGATGGGAATCTGTGGCTTCGATTTGGAGAAGAAAAGCGCACGACAGGTCAAAGAAAGCAGATTGGTAAAGGTTGGGAAGTGTGAGAGGAGAGAGAGAGAGAGAGAGAGAGAGAGAGATTTTAGAGAAGGAGAGAAAAGTAGAGAAAAGATGTTTAGGAATATAAGAATTGGGGGAGAGACAGAGGGAAAGATGGAGGGAGAGGGAGAGTCTCTCAAAGAGGAATGGAGCCCAATCAGCACCGGTCAAACCTACCAAAAACCAATATTTAATTAACATTGGAAAGTATCATTATTATTATCCTTAAAACAACAGAAATGGCTTTCTCATTCCCATTTTGACAATTTTGCCCTTCAGATTCTTCTTCTCTTTTTAGATTTGGAAATGTGTTCCAAATGTCATGCGCCTAGAAGGGTAGAATAGGTTGCCCCTGTAAATAAAAATTTAAACATTTTTGCTCATCATCTTAGTAGCGCTCGTTGAATGGGTTTAATTTTTGAGATATGTGTAGCGTACCACAAATTAAAGATGGCACATAAAGATGTTGGCCGGACTTAACATTAGATGTCTCGTGCGTGTGGAACTGTGAACTGTTGATTTACTTACATCAACTGAATAAGCGATTATTCGTAATATCACTATCAGTCTTATCAACATAAACTGAATAAGCGATTATTCGTAACATCACTATCAGTCTTATCAATAAACTTATCTCCTTTAAAATTAGGGTGTAAATAAAAACTTGCTCATGAAATTTGCATTCACTTTTTTCATTGTTTTTTGAACTTTAAAGAAAGTGAACATGAAAATAAGATTCCTTTGTACTAGCTGATGCAATAATTGTTGTACTGCTGAAAGTGGGCAACCCAATTTTCAAAGTAGTACTTGGGAAATGCTTAATTTGTAGAAGCATGAATTCTTGGTCAAAATTATAGGTTCCCATTATATTTAAGTAACGACCATTCAGATTCAGAATTGTCCTCCTGCAGTCATAAAAAGGTTACGTATCAAAGTGCAAGGATACATACATTGCACTCAACCAACCAAAATTGTCGCGACGGAGAAAAGCCAATTCCTGCATACCAAAGTAGAGGGTAGTTTGGACATTTGAGCATTGGTTAAACATGGCAACAAAACGAGAGAATGAGGGGGGCAGAAAGCATGACCAAAATGGTAAATTCAAGGGAGCAGCCCGATTTTCAACGAAGCGCGCCTCGATTGAAGTGACATCCCAGTCAAAGTTTGGAAATTAATTATTATTATTTTATTTGTTTAAAAAAAACAAAAAATTAGAAAAGAAGGGCATGTTTCCAGTGTGGGTCAAAGAGACCTATCTCGATAGATCTTTGACTCGCAAGCCGTCCCGTCGGATGAGCGCGTGGCGGGAAGATCGACGGTCGACGTGCGGCCTTGAAAAGGACTCGTGGGACCCACTGACATCAACATACTTTGTCCTTATGATAATGTACAGTAGGACTAGCATTTGTTGTTGTAGGCAAGCTTTTTTCACGCGCCTGCACGCTTAGAGAGAAGTACTTCCCCTATATCATCAGCACCATACGTGGGCCCTTCTGCGCCCTATGGCCCCACCCTCCTTCTTTAACACTTTACACTGTTCATCTCTTTAAGCCCTTCAACTATAATAAAGTAGTGAAGGAGTGTGATCCATTTTATGGTTGCCCTTTGGCCATCAAGGCTCAACTCAATAATTTCAACCATGCCCTAGTTTTCAAATTTCAAACATATTGTGATTCTATTGTGTGAATTTATATTTAGTGTAAAAATATATTATATTAATTGAAAGAATTATGTTCTTCGTAGGCACGACAGATTAATGAATTTGAAATGACTAGATGCAATGTAACATTAAGGATGGTAAATAAGACCCGTCAAGATTTGAGTTGATAACAAGTCATCTCTTTGATTTGAATAGCTACAGTTGGGGTAGCTTCTCCTCCTCCTGCCACCTATTCAGCTCCTCCGGCCGAAGCAAGATCAAAAAATTTGTTTTATACAATAGATGTGTTGAGTGGATTTAGAAGCTCTTTTGTGGTTTGGTTGGTTGCAAGCTGAATCTAGGGTTTGTCAGTTCGAATGCCACAATTTCAAGCTCCAATCAGGAGCCTGGTTAAATTGGGCCTATTAAGATGTCTCATTCATTTGGGCTCCATCTTTATAACAAAAAGTGTGCAATGCAATGCAAGCCTCCAATGATGTTGGCCCAAGCAAAAGTTGAGAAAGGAAATAAAAGATTCATCGAGAGATCAAAACTTGTAGAGATTATGTCAAATCAAATCAAGAAAATATGACAGGGAATATCAAACAGGTAAATCAAGTTGAGAGTTTGGACCAAGCCCCACGTATTTTTCCACAATACTTCAAATAATTGTTAAAATCAAGCACTGCTGGACGGGCAAATGCGGCAGCAACCATTAGAAGCAGCAAGATGACCAAAACTCTGGTGATTGATTGAGGTAGAAATGCAAGACCTCCATTCACCAAATTACCCGCAGAAATTAATTCCTGCCCAAAAAAGAAAAAAAGTTATACAAGAAAAAGATTTGATCTTTATAAATGAAAGATGTATGACATATGAGCAACCTCATAAGAGAACCGTTGAGGTTTATCCCGTTTCTTGGAGCTGCGAAATCGAAACTTCTTCACAAATATAAGGAATTTGGATTTCAGGGTTTGTTTCTGCTGCTGCCCAGGAACTAATAATGATGTGAATTCTGAGTTCTTTTTCGTTTTTTGATGCCCTGTGGATTCTGCATTTACTCCGAGAAAAAGCTTGCGGAGCTTGAGGGAAATGGAGAGTCGATGGAGCTTCCAAGTGGAGGGCTCGATTTGGGTTGCTTTCAATTTGAAATGGAAGTTCTTAGCTTTAGCTTGAACGCTGATTTTCCATGCTTGCCGCTTCTCTGCTTGCATTGTGGAAGACGAGCTCAGTTGAAGAGCTGGATCTGCTCTGCCTTCGCGTCGTGTGGACCTTACTAGCCGTTGCCCCGTGATTTCGGCTTTTTTTAAAAGCCACTATTTCAAAAAGCCATTAAAAATTCGGCCCAATTGTTCTGGATTTTATAAACTTGGGCTCTATCAAGCACCATAATTTTCAGATGTTGGGTGCGCTGATCAAACTTCTGAGGGCATATAGAAACACCTTCAAGAGGGTTTGAGCTACGAAATTGTCTTGTGTTCTAGATGGATTTTTTGTTTGGATCGAAGGGAGCGAGGCAGCCGAAGTTATCGAGAAAAAGAGTTAACAAGCGTTACACCCTCGAACACGTTTTAGAATTCACTGGGCATGAGAGAATCTTGTCTGCTAAAATTTGATCATTACAAGTACAACTCAAAAAGGCTATGTACAGAGTAGACTTCGGAAACCCTAAATGTTTCGTAATGTCCTAAAAATGCTCAAACTCGAAAACCCTAAAGATGTTCAAACAAATCGAAAACCCTAAAAATACTTAAACAAGCTATCTTTGCTATGATTTCTTGTCCATTTGAATTGCTTTAACATATTTCCTTTATTATTGTACGCATTAACATATCTTATCCTATTTTATTGAGATTTGGTGTACCCTAACAAATCTAGTCCGTATATCTTAGTACAAAAGAAATCTAATCTACACCCCATATCCAGGCGTTGCCTCCATCTCCATGTAAGCCTATGAAAAAGAAGTGACTTCATCCCTTCCCCTTGGCCCCATAGCCATTAGCCACCTGTCCAATTAGTGAAAGCTCTTGATTAGATACATGTACTGAAGTACTTACAAAAGAGACCCAGAAACACGTAGTGGGTGGTCCCTTGTCCACTTATTATTGATGCCTATTGAAAGGACTTTATACAAGCCTTGCTAGCTATGTGACACCAATTAAAATTTACAATACGAGAGCAGACAACCCTTACAAAAATGTCGACATTTTCCCACCATTTTTTTCCGTTGGCATAAATTGCAATCTGAGAGGACCAGCCTACTATAGTAGAAAAACTTTCTTGTAACCGGAATAGCATTGTTTTGTTATAATGGCCAATAATGTAATAACAAGTGAAAACGTCATCTCGCATGTCATTGCACTATTGATTGAAAATAGCAAAAAGTATTATTCCAGTTACATGAGAGTCTCTTTCACTTCACCATTTACAACGCTAATATTGCATGCAACTTTCTTAAGAGCATGGATCAATATTCACGGCCTGAATCAACCCAAAAGCATAACAACTATGTGATATAACTAATTCACTCATGTTAAGTATAGCCCATCGTGTGCTCTTGTTACAACGGTGTTCTAATGCAGCACTGATTAATTGTTGCCAGGGTGTTGAAAAAGAAAATTAAAATTGGTGCGAAACCTCCCGATTTTAAGCTTTTTAGGGAATGAATTATCCACTTGTCTTGATTGATATTTACTTCAGAGAATGAAGCGCCAAGTAGAAGAGGTAGATCCTCTTCTATACAGGCCCAGTACGGATGGAAAAGTTTTGGTTAAGTACAGAATAGAAGAGAGAGAGAGAGAGAGAGAGAGAGAGAGAGAGCCACTTTAGTCGTGGATAAGTTGGGTTTGAGATAAGCAAGCAGTGCTGGGAATAAAGTCTGTTCCAACTCTCCATCCTCTAGCTGTAAAACTGGACCACACTTGAAAACTAACCCTAACCCTTTAACTCGTCCAGCTCCACATGATCAAACAATTATAGTTTAATTTAATCATAATTATAGTTTAAGAAAAAAGAAAAGAATTTGGTTCTTTCTAAAATTGTTTGATGATTTACTGAAACATTTGATCAGAGAAGTGCACCAGAAGACGATTTTCATCAAAGTGATCTCATCATGCTCTGTACAAAATTACAAGCTAAAAATAAAAACCTCCCAGCATTTTGCTAATTGCTACTTGGTCTCTCCTCAAAATTAGATCAATAAGCTTCATACTGTGACCTTAAACTATTTCTACCCTGTAAATTTTTGAAGCTCCACCATAAAGTTCTCGACTTATTTTTGTTGGCAGGTTTAATTTAACTTGCCTGCTCAATGACTATGACCACTCTGCCTTGCTGGTTGGGCTCATTGGTTGAATTCGATGGCTCTGCTGCAGTAGCAGCAGCAGCTTCTTGATTTTGGCTTGCATCAACAGTACTGGCACTACTAGTCCTGGTACTCTTTTTGGGATGGTGCTGTTCAAGCAGTGAATGTCGACAGTTTGGGCAGGACGAGTGGGACAAAAGCCACGTATCTATGCACCTCACATGAAATCCGTGATTGCATTCTGGCAGCACCCTGACTTTTTCTCCATCTTCAAACTCTCCAAGGCAAATTGGGCATTCTGTGGCCGGAATTTCCACGCCGGAGCCATAAACAGCAACTGGGATCTGGCGCAAATGGCTCTTCTTCAGGCCTGTGGCTGCCAACCTTGCAGCTGCTTGTTCCGGCGTCTCCAAAGCAAACCTGTGGCTGCAGCGCAGGGCACAGCGGACAATTGAGTTGAGCCCAAGTGCACATATCAGAGCACATAACAGGGCTGCCAATATGATCACCATGTTGGTGTCAAAGTTGGCCTCGCTAATGTATGAATCTGCTGTCCTGTTCCTAAAGGACGGCGCCGTATTTGGCTCTGTGCCGAGGAGAAGTCGATGCATATTTCTGGTGGGTTTTTAGCAGCTTGCTTGATGAGATGGAAGTTGAAGAAAATGAACGGAAAAAAACAGAGAAAGCGAAGGGCTCTTTGGTTGCAGAGTCGTTCTTTTCTGGTGTGAAGAACAGAAAGGTGGTACTTGTAGGTCGTTTAAGTTAGAATTGTTGTGAAGATTCCAGCTAGAAAGGGACACAGAGAGAGCATATCTTTATTTGTTTATGAGAGTGGCTGTTATCCGAATCAGAGACCCTTTTTCAGCTGCTCAACGATTCTCAGCTTCTTAATCAGAAATGGTCCTCTTTAGCAGGATAGAAATTTCCCTCCTTTGGAACCAAAACCAATCAGAAAAGAACCCATCTTGACTGAAATCTGGAGCTAAGAGTAACTTTGCATAGTCATCATCTTTGTCAAGAACCCAGAAGAGCCAAAAGGACCATAAATTTTCTTCCAATTATGTGCATAAGAAAGGGTGACATGCCCAGCTCTGTATTTGATATTGAGAGAGAGAGAGAGAGAGAGAGAGAGAGAGAGGGCTAATGCCTATGCAGCAGTTGTAGTGTTTGAAGGGGTCAAGTTGGTCCAAGGAGATGTGCATTTATGCAGCAGACAGATATAAAGGTGGGGAAAAGTGAGAGAAAATGGTGTCAGCTTAGTCTACCTAATCATGATTAAGAATTTTAATAACCCTTGATAATGGCTCTAAGATCCGATCTTATTAATCCCCTGTTGTGCATCTGTAAATGGAGCCTAGTAAATCCTATGTGGTTTCTACCAATCACAAACTGTTTGATGTATGATTCGTGCTTGGATGCAGATTCAGGCATAGTGGAAATTTTTGTTGCCAATATCCAATTCGGTTGTATGTTGCTTTTGACATCATAGGGTACAGATGGATAAGTATGATATCTGTTTAAAGGAAAAGAGAAAAAGAGAGAGAAAAAAACCAGAAAATATCTGTCTAGCTTTTCGCCCTTTACTGCCAGCAAAAGATACTTATGGTCACGCATTTGAACTGATGTTGTTATCCTTTGGATGGGTTATCTATGGAAGGAGGGTTCGTTTCACCCTATTTTTAAAGGCTACTTTAACCTAAAAGATGGGTGACCTACTAGCATCTCCAAGTGTTTGCAAATATCTATATATCTCTTCCCCCTGCTCCCCAAGCCTCCCCATCCTGTAGTGTTGATAAATATGTAGTTAAAATGTTCTCATAATTCCTTATGAACACAGGCATATCCTCCTAGGTCCATGTTAATATGTTATCATATTCTCTGCTTCAAATGATCTTACTTGTCACGAAATCAATAGAATTGAGCATAAGAAAGAGCTAAATGCTATTGTGAAACCACTAAATTTATCGAAAATAGATCATCCACAAACCATTGATACTTCTTTAGAGTTGTCATGTTCATGTCATATACGTGTCGAAGTCTCACACTCACTTAGCATTTGACACTCCATATAATTTGCCACACATTTTCTCTCTACTTTTGATTTCACCAACGTTCTAAGGGTTTTCATATTTTTGAAGGAAAAAAAAAAAGGTTCTAAGGGATTTCATACATGACAAAAGAGTCTAATGCACTCAAAATTCAAAGCCTTAGCTTTTCCCCCTTCTGCCCAAGCCACCCCGTTGCTCTAATGTTAATATATGTGTACTTAAAATGTTCTCAAAATCACTAAATCCATAAAAAAAAGATGATTCGATTTCTTTTTAATTCTCCCAACCTTTTATTTGACCAACATTAAGGAGTCTTAACTACAAGATTAACATCTACTACTCATATCGTGTGTCGGTGGATATGCTTTGTTTGTTGTATAACATAAATAATTTTTCTTTTAATTTGTTTTTTCTTGTAAATAGAATAGACACCATTGATATCAAATCAGAACACGTAGGTTAGAGAAGAAAACACCGGGACAAACGTTGATCAAGGGGCCAAGGTGGGGTTGAGGGGGTGTGGTTAGGCTCTGGCCTGGCCCGTGATGAGCGGGACACATCTTGGTGGGGCCTGTTATGTCAGGCATAGCTTCTGTCGGTCGTGGTGGGGCCCACTTTGGGGAAATTTGTGTCTTGTTTCTTCACTATTTTGATGGAAGATTTTGAACTACAACATTAATATAATGAGATTTGAAAGGGCATTTGGTGAGTGGTGTCTAATAATAATATAATGAGATTTGAACTACTTCACTATCATAGGTCCATCATGTCCACATCCTTCCTCCTCATAAATCCTTGTAGTTAGGTTTAGGTGGGAAAGGGAATGAGAGACGGTTGGCAGTTGAAACAACTAAAGCAGCACCGCTAAACCTCAAGTTAGGACTCTCCCAGCATTCAGCGACTGACTGACTTGGACCCACCCCTCTAGGGCTTGGGCTTGGGTCTTGCTAGTTGGGCTGGAACCTTTTTATGATATTCCACTTCGTAACTGTTGACTGAGTTCGAATAACCACACTCATTTATGATTCTCACTCAAATATTTGGAGATGGTGAAAATTGAACATGGTTTGATCAACCTTTCGTCTTGTGAAGAAGTTTCTTTTAAGCATGTTTTTAGGGAAGCTAATTTTAATGCTGATGTTTTAACTAGTTTAGGTCATGGTCTTTCTCCGTCACATTTGTGAGAGCATGGATTGCCTTTGAATTGTTAGATTCCTTTTTATTTTGATTTGTTTGTGCTTGCTTGCTCTCGTGGTTGTCGGTTGTAGATATTTTTCATTTTCTATTAAAATAAAACTTAGGAGCGAAGTTTGGGACAATATAAGTGCAATTTACTTGATTAGAGAGGAGTTAAGAAGAAATGACCCCAACATTATGCGTGTAATGGGTCCTATATATATTTGTCTAGAGAATTAGAAGTGGGGATATGGAGGCAGAGAATGATAAGCAACTTCCATTCCCAATCATTAATGTGAGTCGCTTTTCTTCACAATTGACTAGAGAATAAATTTGACCAATGGTAAGTGTAGCTCATTATTTTTGGGTGATGAGGGTTCCAGTTATGCATGGCGTCAAGTAATTTCATTGGGGAAATGTCCCAATCTGGTAGGTTCATTTACGGCTTTTGCTTTAAGGTGCCATAATTAACATCATTCAATTGCTTGTTCCATATTCTTTCTCCTTCTTATAATTAGCAGTGGACCAGACACAGCTAGATATAGATATATGCACACATAAACAATAAAAGAAAAAACCTGAACTTTTGATTTAGGCGTCGACAAAGAAAAACCATGTTTTAGTTTGATTAACTGCAAACCCCACACTGATCCAATGCTAATTACTTTGGTTAAATACTCAAGCTGCATAGATGTTAAGAGAAAAGATATATAATTACTAATTAAACAGTAGATAGTCACAACAAAGAAGCTGATTTAAACACAGGGGAAATCAAATCAGCCACTGTCGAACTAGAAACCTAAACACCAAGTAGATGACATAACAACTAGAGCAACACCCACTGAAACCAACAGCAGACAAACTCCCAAAAGCGGTGCACGAGACGAGCCAGCCAAACCAAAGCACCAATTTATTCTTATGCCACTAGTTCAAGCTGCTGGCTTCCACAGAAACCTCTCACTTGATGCTGCAACACACAAAACTTGGTTAAGAACATAATAATGAAAATATAATCTCATATCATAAAAATGATTGGATTTTTTTCATACCTTTTGCAGTCAGTAGAAGGAGAGATCTTGTAAGGAATATTGACCCCGCACTTGCCAGGAAGGCCAGCGGCAAGGCCAGCATTTGCATTGGTGTAAGGGATGCCATTGACGGCTTGTTTCAAGCAGTTGCAGATGCTCTGGCGGTCAGCTGTGGTCTGGGCCATGCTGTAGAGAGACTTGACCCCAGTGCAGCAACTAGGGTTCAAAGGCCCATTGTTTGACACGTAGCTTAAGCATGGGGTCAGACTGTTCACCACCTGGCCGCATGACACAGCTGCCATGGCCTTGGGAACACCAACCGCCATGCAGCACATCACCGCCACAAGGCAAACGAGCTTGAGGAGCTGTCCGGAGCTAGCCATAACGACGTCGTAAGTAAAGCTGATATATTATCTCTTTTGAAACTAACTTTTTCTCTAGTGTTTGGAGACAGATACTGGTGGCTATGAGAGGGCAGAAGGTATGCTGTATATATAGACAATGAAAGAGCTAGCATGTGAGCCTGTGATCTTGGGGCTTTGTTTGTGCTACTTGGTAGTTGGGAGGAATTGAAAACTTAAGCGGAGTTTTGTTGAGGATGTTAAATGCTAGCACTTGGATCGAGAAACCAAAATTCATGTCTTGAAATTAAATTTGCTGTTCTCGTTTTTGTCTGCATTGTACGAGCTATATAATAATTCAGTTCATTCACCACACACCATATTTTAGTTTGGGAATGCGTGTGAGATTTTTATCTTGGCCAAATGCAAGCAAGCCCTCATCAAAGGTCGGCCGGATCATAAATGTCTAAACTACATGGGGGCTTCTTTTGATTTTTTACTTCTTCAGAGTTATTACTTGTATAAAGAATTTAGCATTTTTCTATTTAATATTTGTATTATACACTTACGCATGTATTTTTTTAATAATATTTTAGTTTTCCATACACGTTTTAAAGACTTGGTAAAATATACGTTTTTTAAAAAGCAAACGTATAATATCTAATATTTTTCATGTTCATGTGTTTTTTACAAAATTTTCAATAATACAAGCAAAATTCACGTATTATACACATAATTTTTACATATTATTAAATAAAAATAATATATATTTAAAAAATTAAAAAATTATATTAAATATTAAAAGTTTAACAGAATCATTTCCCTTAGTATACGAACTGGCGTTGTTTCTTGCATTGCACATACCAAATTCCAGCAAATAAAATAATGAATCCTGGTGGCTCAAGAAGTAAACATATAACATCCAAATGTCACATTGCTAGTAGTAATAGGAAGATATTTGATTGGAATTACGGAATGCATACCTATACAAAGTCCTCTAAATGTCCATTGTACATTATCAAGCAGTACAAATACAACAGGGTAAGGATTTAGTTAGCAAGTTTTACATTCCTTTAGGTCATCTCCAACCATGTTGGGGCTACACTCAAATTTTCACCCTCTAAAATACAATTATTCATGTATTTTCAGGACTCAATTTTTTTTTCCTCCAATCTTGCAGACTCATAATTTGAGTCTGCAACTTTATTAAATTGTTTAAGAATGATTAACCCCTAAATTTTTTTTCTTGACGTTAATTTTGTTTCAACACTCGTGATTTAATTTTCCAAACATTTTAACCTAAAAAAAATTAAAATTCCAAAACATAATAGAATTTCACTTAAAAATAAAAATAAGTACAACACCAAGAAATGTAGCTGTTAGAATATATATATAAAAGTAACATCAGATTTTTTGAAAATATGGCCATTATCCATCAATAATGAAATGTGCCCCAGCTTTTTCACACAAAGTTGCTGCCCAAACAGAAATTCTCAGCGGGCCCAGCAAATATTGTTCAGCACGTGGGCTTCAGCCAGAAAAAATAAATCCAGATTTTGGGCCCACAAAAAAAAATCAGTCCAGGCAATAATGGGACTGGAATTCCACCCAAGATTTGAGATTTCTCAAATTTTCACCTCCCAAAATACATGGGTTGGAGAAGTTTTTTGGACTCAAAACTCAAAATTTGAACTTCCACCCATTGGGTTGGAGATGGTCTTATAGGCATATATAAAAG